GTTATTCATAAACGAATAACTATAGATACATGAAAATTTCACTGAATGTTTATATTAGCATTTCCTATACACCATACAATTTTGAAAATATTTTGACTCTTTTTGAGCTATTTACGGACATTTTCAGTTTTCAATTTTTTTAGTTTTTTTTTCTATGAATATCAATAAAGTTTTATCTGTTGGGCCAAAAAGTGTAAAAATTTAATACAAGGCTCCTGATATATTGTTACAATATCAGTTGAAAAATATTAAAAATACATAGGCACAATTTTTTTTTATAAGCATTTAAACGTCGAATTTTGACAGAATTTTTCAAAACCTCGAAAATGATTAATCATCGTAATTAATAAATTATAAAATGTTCAGTTTTTATAGCTAAGGATTGAAAATGAAAAACAAGATTCCACGTAAGGAATTAATTCTCTTACCGAAAAATCTAAAAAATATACAATCACAGTTTATTTTTATAGTCATTTTATGTTCAAATTTGGACGAAATTACATATTAAAAAACCTAGTTATTTTGTTGTGATTATATAATTTTATTCGTGGGTACCTACTTGAAACTTCTAAAGTGTACTATTATATATCTATGATAGTATCAGGGTTTGTTATTGATGTTGATGTATAACATGTTATAAGTACCTAATGGATATTGTGTTAATGTGATATGATTAATTTGGAATTTATTATAAGTCAATTTTTTTTTTAATACCATAGATATGTATATAATTTGTCTTAAACCTAGACTGACATACCGTCTTCGCTCAGAATCGTTTTTCTTATACAATGATATTGTATCATTGAATTCAAATTTAAAAGCATCCATTATACAGTGACCCACTTGTAACCTACTGTACAGCAGAGCGACATCCACTTACCCACCTTTTTATTAAATGAAAAATTGTTTAAGTTAATTTTCTCTTTAATTTGTCTTAAAATGTAATGTTTTTATACTATTAAAAGTACAATTAACTACTTGATGTAATTTTAAGCTGATATAACTATGGGTTCTTTACATACGCGGTCTCTAGAGACTCGCCCCCTCCCACCAGCCAATGGATTAAAGGCAACTTTGGTGATCAGGGGCAATCTTTCATATTAAAAATTATATAATATCATTAATAATTTAAACAATATAATGTATAATTTATACAAAATATTTTATTTAAATTAATGAAAATACTTAAATAAATAATAATACAATACAATTTTATGATATAAAAAGAAACTGTTTTATAGTTTGTTATATATACTTTTATATTATATTTTAATTTTAAAACGAGTTATGAGTATATTTATTATTTTATGATGTACAATTATATATAGGTAAGTATTTGCTTTTGGGGATTTTGGATTTTATTCAACAGTACGGTTAGGGATGGCTTTGGGGATTTTTTTTCCGATTACCATGTATATTTATTAAAATTGCAATTTTTTAAATCATAAAGAATAGATAAGCAAATAAAAATTGACATTATATTGTATAAATTAACAATACAATTTTCCATCGAAAAACGGCGTATACTAATACCATTCATATTGGATTTAAATGTTGGCCGCTAGTTTCACGCTACAGGCAGTCGTTTCGAGAGCCTCCCACAACTGTTCCATACCTCTAGCAGTTTGGACGCGCCGCATCCGAAATATATAGTGAGTACACCCTCTCATACATATTATATGTTCGTTTATAAATATACTTTAAATATTTAATACAATAATTTGGTATACATATATTGTCTTTTTATATTTAAGCAAGTTACAAGAAATACAAAATTATTTATTTTCTTAAATTCTTGTTTTAAAAATATTTGTCGAAAATAAAATTGATTTCGAATTCATATTTTATACAACATAGTTTTGAATATTCGATTTGTTTATTTTATATATTTTTTACAATATAATACAATCTGTATGCCAAAATAAATTTTTTTTTTTAGGGAAATAATAAAGTGCGAAATACTATTAAATTAAAATTCCACATATTTATAAAAGAATAATAAAAACTTAATCATAAATATAACAAAGTGGTAATACAATATGTTCTTATTTGTGAATGGGTATAATGTTGGAAATGATGAAAGTAATATCTAAAACTAGGTAACAGTGTTTCACAAACAATTATAAGAACAAATTTTAGTAAAACCTAGTAAGGGAAGCACACTATACGAGTTCTTTTGTTTCTATACATATTTTATGTGTTCAAAATTTACTATAAAAGTGACACAAATAATAAAACATTTAAAGAAAAAATTTATCTATCAAAGCAACATATAATAAGTATATGTAATAATAAAATTATACGAAATAATGATTGGTGTAAATAAACAAAAATATATAATAATTAATTGATAATAAATAACTATATAGAAAACCTAGACCAGATTTATTCATATAAAATTAATAAATGTAAGTGAATTTAAATACAATTCTTAATTTATTTCAGTAGTCAGGGACGTCACAATGGGTCTTGTGGGAGGAGGGTTTATTCTCCCACACAATTAGGTAGTTGGATTTGTTTAATTATATACTTATTAGTTATTACTTATAGGTAGGTAATTTATTTAACTTATAGCTTCTATACTCTAATTATCGAAAAATAAATATAAAAGTAACATACGAAATAAGAATGATATTAGTAAATTACGACGTACTGAAAATACCAATATATATTAAATATACAATTTATAAATATTATTATAATATAATAATACAGGTATTCATTTTTTTTCAAAAAAAGATTTTAAGACTTAGGTTTACCCTGCTCATAATTAAAAAAGGGGAGAAATTACATAACCACTCTGCCGTATCGATTCATTGAAGCGTCACTATAATGTGTGAGCTAAATTAGACATTCTTTATCTACATTCATAGAAAAAACTAAAATGTCAATCGTCGATAAATAGCTCAAAAAATTTTGAAAATTGTATTATGTATATAGAAAATTCTAATACAAACATTTGGTGAAAATTTCAAGTATATCTACGGTTATTCGTTATTGAGTTACAACAAAAAAACAAAATTTATATTGTCAAATAGGTTTTGCTTAAAAATTCTCGTTATCCCTCAATTTTTTCTTGTTATTTTCATTTATTTTGAAAAGTAATAGGAATTTATTTTTAATAGAATACTTAATGTTTTTACAATATATATAGTATTAATGATTATCAATATTATTAAATACCATGAAATAATTTATTAATATTAATACTCGTAGCTATTTATACAAAATAAGAATCATATTAATGTTAAGAAGTTGGAACGTATAATTTATTGGATACCTGCATGTGATTGGTACACCAACATTATATAAATTCTAATAAGTGGTCAGCGGAATTATATAATACGAACTATCATAATAATAATAAATCATAATACATTGATACACCAGTCATCATTGATTAATATCCTTGAAGTTATTATTTATTAATTATTACTTATTAATATCATTTTTTTTCTAATCGTAGTAGTAAGAATCAGGATACAATAATTATTAAACATTTAATACATAATATAGAAAACTTTTAGGTTCCTCCTGTTTAAAACTTAAAATAAATCACGCAAATTACTTTAAAAATCTAGAAATCATATCTTATTACGTTTTAAAATTTAAATGTTAACATTTTATTTGAATTAATAAATTAAAGTTATATATTTTGTCAAAAAATATTAGTAGATTTTCAATAGTTTAAAAAAATCGAGCGAATAACAAATTTTGTAAAAATATGAATTTAAAATGCTCATAAAAATTTAATTTGACTTTCTTATAGACATTTTTTTTTGTTGATAAAGGTATATAATCTTATAAGGAATCTTTTATAACATTTTAAAATCTTAGATTTAAAAAGAAAAATTTTTACTAATTCTTAACTCAACATAATTTTCTAATTTTCGTGATTTTTCCATATTTTGTAAATTTTTGAACTTTAACTTATCGTGTATAGAAAATCCAAATAAAAATAACCAGTGAACATTTCATGTATCTACGGTCATTTGTTTTAAAGTTACACCAAAAACCAAAATCGAGTTTGTGGAAAACCGATTTTGAGTAAAATTTCCCGTTTTTCCTTAATTTTTATGTTGTTTTTGAAAACTATTGTGAATTTTAAAATTTGACCTCCCGAATGCACCAACTAGATTCACTTTCCCATCGAACAAGATACTGTTGAAGAAAATCGTAGCAGTTTTACTGCTCTAAACCGTGATGACAGACACAAAAAAAAAATTTTAAAAAAAACACACATCATTGTAAAATCAATACATTCATCGTTCCACTCAGAATCTAAAATTAAATAACAACGATGTACCTATAACCTGTATAAAAATATTTTAAAATTGATTAAATTATGATAACAGAATAATTTAATAGGCACTAGGTACAAATGTTGGCGATGAGAATAAATTGTTTAACAAATATCGGTAATTATTTTGAAAATGTGTAATAATTCTCTGACATGTTATATTCTTTATGTAGTTTCTATAGTTAAATATTTTTAATAATAATCTTATAAAATAAAATATATTTTTAATAACTATTTTATTTTCACTAACTAAGTTCTATACGAAATACAATAGTTTTATAATTTGTAGGAAATATCCCCTAAAAGCTCAATTATTTTGATTCTGATGATCTAATATCGATTATTTTCCGATTACTTTTATTTATTTATTACAAGTTTCGTTAACCATTGGTACTTAAACTTGTCAAATAAAGCAAAATTAATTAAAATATACACTCATATTTTCGGAAAAACATCTCTTTAATAAATAAGAAATGAAATTGAAAAAAAAATTGAACAAATAAAAAGGTGAAAAATCTGCTGTTGACTTGCAGTGGTTCCGTCAATCTAAAATTGCCTTCATGCACATGACAACGTAGAATATTATCATTCTCCGAGAGAAATCAATTAGCCTTACATCCTTAACGAATTCAAATGCATTTGAATAATAATAAAAGTGTTGATTAAATTTTTTATTTAATTTAAGGAATAAAATTATAAAATGGATACGGAACAATTTCGAAAGCACGGCAAGGAGATGGTGGACTATATATGTGAATATTTAGAGACAATTAAACATAGAAGAGTAACACCAACAGTAAACCCGGGCTGGTTAAAAAATAAAATTCCGCTGGAAGCACCTGTACAACCAGAATCATTTGATACGATAATGGAAGATGTTGAAAACATAATTATGCCAGGAGTAAAACACTTATATTTATTATAATTAGTAGATATTTATCATCGAACGTAAATTGCTTTTAAACAATAGTACCTACTGATATTTGAATAGAATAAAATAGTTTTAGGTCATATTTATTTTACTAGTAATTAATACATTTTTAAATAATAATATTTTAAATATAATTAAAAACTCAATAGAAATTGGACATTAATATAAACTTACTTTTCAATATTTTATCAGCTTTTGGTTTTCAAATTCAAACAGAACGTATGGTATCAAATCTGTAACAAAAATAAAAGATATGTTTAATGTATGTGTTTACTAGGTAACTCATTGGCAACATCCAAGATTTCACGCTTATTTTCCCTCTGGTAATTCATTTCCTTCAATTTTAGCAGACATGCTATCTGATTCCATAGCATGTATAGGTTTTTCATGGGTAAGTAACTAACAAAATACATTTTATTTTATTTTTTTAAATAATTTAAAATAATACATATTATAATTTATTAAGGCCGCAAGTCCTTCGTGTACAGAATTGGAAACTATAGTTTTGGATTGGCTCGGTAAAGCCATAGGATTACCCGAAGAGTTTTTAACATTTTCAGAAGAAACATCAAAAACTATTGATTCTGTGAGAAATGATGATAGTGAAACCGAAATACATAACGGTAAAGGCGGTGGGGTACTTCAGGTGAACAATTAAAACCATTCGATTTAACTAGTCGTAAAAATATATTACAATCAGATTTTTTTTTTAGAGTTCAGCGAGTGAGTGCATATTTGTTTGTATGCTAGCAGCTCGAGCTCAAGCAATTAAACGATTACGGAAACTTCACCCATTTGTCGAAGAAGGTGTGCTTCTATCCAAACTGATGGCTTACTGTTCTAAAGAATCGCACTCGTGCGTAGAAAAAGGCGCTATGATGGCATTTGTTAAACTACGTATTCTCGAACCTGATGAAAATAACAGTTTGAGAGGTGCTACGTTAAGACAAGTTAGTTTGCCACACAATACCTAAGTTCAATATATTTGAATTGACAAATATTGTAGGTGATGGAACAAGACGAGGCAATGGGATTGATACCATTTTTCGTATCCACTACATTAGGAACAACGTCATGTTGTTCATTTGACAATATAACCGAAATTGGTCAAGTATGTCAGCATTTTGAAACCGTTTGGCTACACGTTGATGCTGCTTATGCTGGAAGTGCATTCATTTGTCCGGAGTTTCGATGTTTAATGAATGGTGTACAATATGCAGATTCTTTTAATCTCAACACAAACAAGTGGTTGTTAACAAATTTTGATTGTTCATGTCTTTGGGTAAAAGATCGGTTTAAATTAACTTGTGCTTTGGTGGTCGATCCTCTCTATTTACAACATGGCTATGCTGGTGCTGTAGATTATAGACACTGGGGTATACCATTGAGTAGACGTTTCAGGTATGCCTTAAATAGTATAATACGATTTGTCTTTTTTTATATACTCTCAATATAAGAAATTCAATTAGTTTGAACATAAACATTTAGATCGCTGAAGCTTTGGTTTGTGCTGCGCACATATGGAATTTCTGGACTTCAGAAATATATTAGACACCATTGTCAACTAGCAAAACGTTTTGAAAGATTGGTCAGGAGTGATAATAAGTATGAAGTTTTAAATGATGTAAAGGTAATTATTATTGCAGACATACCTATTAAATTCAATATTTTACCATTGCATACAATTATATTAATTTTTCCTTAAAAAAATAGATGGGGTTAGTTTGTTTTCGTTTGAAAGACGATCCGACCAACAAACTTAATAAAAAGCTCTTAGAAACCATTAACGAATCAGGAAAACTTCACATGGTGCCATCATTAGTACACGACAAGTATGTCATTAGGTTTTGTGTAGTGGCAGAACATGCTACAGAAGATGATATCGGTAATATAAAACAAATACATAATTTAATACAAACAAAGATATAATATTATTTAATTAAAATAATATCGGTGGCCTTAAATTGAAAATATTATGAACCATAAAAGTGATTTTCAAAAAAAAATTATTTAAAATTTATTTAATATAGATTACGCTTGGAAAATTATTAAGGAAACGGCAGTAACAGTTTTGTACAATGAACAAGAACTCACGGAAAAACGAGAAGTTAGTAAATATAATTTATCTGAATATGTAGATAGGTACACACAAACATTTGAATAGTTTAAATAGCATAAAATACTATTCTATACACAAAATATATTGAAATAGGTATTAACACTATATTCATAATTGTGTTGTATAACTATATAAGTATTTTAAAAACTGGATTCACAATGATGGGTTTTTATTTTTATTTAATTTTGTCGTATATTAATTTCTAATTAGATAGTTATTTGTTATCGTCCCGCCACTGAGCCGTAAACAATTACCTCTTCACCAGACAACCTCACGTCAGCAGTCTTACCTAATGGTAAGACCTTAAATTTCGATATTTATATTCAATATTTCTTTATATTTCTATGATACCTTACTTTTAGGTTAGTCGAGTGACTAGTATGTGATCTAGATTTATGCAAAAAGGGCAAATACTACGTCTTATAAGTTATAATACATGAAATTCTTTTTTAATCATGTTAGTTGAAAATTTAATCGACTTCAAATCACCCAAAAATATTCGGGGGCGTAAGCAATAAGCACCCAAGTCATTTAAAGTCGTGAGACGCTTTGGCTTTCGGCTTTGCCACACTCCTCATATTATATTGATCTCTTCCTTATATTTGTTACATTTGATATCTCTATTAATAAAATAAATTAAAGATTTAAATAAACATTGTATAGGCTGTGTATTTGTAGGAAAATTCATTATTTTTAGCTTATTGTAAAACATAACTTTCTTAACACAAAGTAACTATCTTATAAACTTTATTAGCTTATTATAAAATAAAAAAATAATTTTAATGAGTTGTTTCCTGTAATATTTAACACTTTAAACTAGCATAGTGGCATTCAATTTTTACAAGAAAAATATGTTGTTAAAACAAATAAATTGTGTGATATTTATAAAGTTGTCATATTTTAATACGTGTAGTTATGAAATATTAATTAATCATAAACTATTCTTAACACGGTGGCGGGGTGATCAATTTTATACTGTGGTGACGGGGCGATAACAAGCTAGTACCTACCCTTAATTGTAATACGTTAGGTTAGACAATTTAATACGAGATTTTTTATCATTTTGCATACTGTAACTTATATATTACTTTAAGTAGTAAGTACCTGTATTAATTTATTTTACTATTCCTAATACGGAAGGTTGAATTAATGTTTTACGTAAACATTGCGATTATTATATTATTAGAGCTTCAAATTTCTACTAATTATTTTTGAATTACAACAAAATAAGAAATTTGTTTGCTGAGAAATAGTTATTTTACGCATGATTAACACATTTTGTCAAAATTTTAACTACTAACAGTTCTAACGTCCATAAAACATTGCGAATTTACGATCATCTTTTTTATTTATTCAACTTATGAGGAACCTAGTATTAAATTTTCAAATTGGTATTGACCTTTATAAATATTTATTATTTATAGAAAATAACTTAACAATTAGACCATAACGTATAGAAAATGTTAAAAATAATATACAAATTTGGTGTATTTTCAAGTACCTACCTATCTACAGTTATCTGTTTTTGAAGAATTACAACAAAGTAAGAAAATAGATTTTGTTGAAAACTGGTTTTGCGCACAGATCGTACTATCTATAGCCGTGGTTTTGCTTAAGAATACGTGTTGATTTTCTTCAATTTTCAAATTGAATACTAAAATAATATAATATTATAATATAAATTATATTACTGACATTTTTTACTTAGAACCCCCCCTCCCCCCACAAAAAAAAAATATCAACTAGATTCACTTTCTTCACAGAAATGATATTGAAGTGGAAAATCGAAGTATTATTGCTAAATCTCAGTATTTTTCTGCTCCAAAAGGTGTTGACAAACACAAAAAACAAATAAACACATCATTGTAAAATCAATACATTCAGAATACATGTTGAGAATCTAAAAAAAAAGATTTAAAATAAAAAAAAAATGACTAAAATAGCAAAATAAGTATCATATTTTAATTTGTTGTTGAAAAGTTTAGACGAGTTAATAAGATCTCTATTTAACAAAATTTAAAAAACTGCATGTTGCTATTTCCAACCCTAATTATTATACATCAAAACATATTATTCCTCATAGGTATTTAATTTTTGTTTTCTACAAACTTAATTTTGATTGGTCGGAAATTATTTGTTCCTTACTTCTTTAATAATTTGTTTAATTTGGAATAGGAGCAAGTGGATGAAGTATTTGAGTTATCAGAACGTAAGAAGAAAGATGATTTGGCCTATAGGAGATCATTCTTTGTACGAATGGTTAGTGATCCAAAAATATATAATCCAATAATTGCTCGATCATCCCCTGGATCTCGCAGACATACTCATTTAAGTTCAATGGACGATGATATCCATGATCCATTATCCACTTCTACAAGTGATACAGAAGACACAATGACACAACCAGCGTAAGAAATAATAATGATATTTATAAATAATTATTTAAATACATGAAGTGTATTGTGAATAAAAAAACCGGTAGGTACTTTTAAAAGATTATATAACACTGGTCTATAAACATATGAATATTATTAAAATATTTATATCAATTTAGTCAGTATAAATTATTTTGTATTAATAAATATATTATTCATAGTAGTTAGAGAAAATTTCAATGAATTTAGGTAATACTCTATAACTATAAATGTTTATTGAACAGCTATAGAATTAAAATATTATATTATTATACTATCAGGAGTTCATGGATAAGTTGGCCATTAGCATTCTTATTTCAAGGAGTGTTTGATGATAAAGAAGGCAGTAATGATGTTCCTGTAAGGTTAGTACTCGTAGTAGTATAACATATGTTTATAAATGTAATACTTAAATATTAAGCAGATATTTTAATATAGATTTAGACACTTGGCGACTAAAATGCACTTTAAATCAAAAAGCAAATCACCAGAACACTTGGCCACAGAAGAAAACAAATCACGACGTAATTCTCCAGTATTTCCAAGAAAATCTAGTTATGTTAAAACTGAAAACGAAAGTAACATGCAAAAATAAGAACTGACCAAAATATAAAATTAATTTTTGCTTCTGTTATTTTTCTAGCTTGTTCATAATTATAATTATTGTAAGTTCATGACCTCGAAAGCACAAAATAAATCTATATGCTTATATTAAAAAGATTTACTGTTTAGCTAATATTTGTAAATGATTAAAAAAAATAATATATTAGGATAAAAATAATGAAATATATTTGAGGAAAATGGCCAAGCTTAAAAATATATTGACTTAATTGGTTTAGGATAAATGGTTGGTCAAATTCAGAATTAAGACCAATCAAAAAAATTATTATCTATAGGTAGGTGGTATCAATTAATAATTAAAAATATTTATTTCTAATAGATAATTTAATATTATAAGATAAAATAGTATTAAGTATATAATTGTTAATAATTAATGGTTATTATTTAAAAATAAAAACAATCTATTGTAAGAGGGAAATTTATTGTCCCTATTCAATTTGTTACGTTACTCGCAAACAACAGTAACTATGAGGAGGGAGGGTCCAGCGGTCTAGACCCCTCAATTATCTTTAAAAAGTAGAAATATGTAGTTTTTTTTTGTATGTGCCTATCAGTTAATTGAATATTTATAATCTGCTTTTATATACAAGAAAATTTGATAAAGAAAAAATACAATGGCATTGATAATAGGTACTTTCAATAACAAATAATAGAATTAATTGTTTTTAAAATAAATGTATACTTTTTCTAGGTATATATTGTGTGATATAAAAAATATACTAATATATATAATAATATAATCTAAAAAATTATGGGTTACATACCTATTAGGCCAAATAGTCATATTAATATTAACTTAAAAAATATGAATATCTAATATAAAATCATTTTTTGTTAGTATTTACTCATACATTTTTTAAAAAACAGCCATTGAATAATGATTATTATTTTTAATCATATAAGGTGATATTGACACATTTCTAGCTAAATATACCATATTCATATTCTTAAATCTTAAGTATCTTAGTAATCTTAAGAATAGGTATTCATAAAAGTGCATAAAATATTATTCTATTTGTTGACTTTTCCATAAAAAAAAATAATAATCATATTTGAGGTCATGACATTAAAACTTATGTAATTTAATTTCTGATTAATCGACATGCTTCCTGTATGAACAAAATAAATTATTTGTGTTGAATTATAAAATGTGGTTTTTTTCTTCAAATTCTATAGAAACCTACATATTATGTGAATAATGTGGTAATATTGCAAACATTGCTACCCAATCAATGTACAATGTACTTTTGGAACATGCTGCTCTTATTATCCAATTATCTACTATAGTTATATAAGTAGGTTACTGTAATTTAAAGTTTACAATTTTTATTTATGTCAATAATACCTATACTTATTACTAGGCTTCTGATTTTTAGGCAATATTAACAATAAAAAAAGCACTTAAAATGTGAAAAAAGGAAAGAAATAGCATTTGTAGAAAAACGACTAAATTAATATATTTTAATCTATAGATTTGTAGTATCAAACCAACAGCTAGGGAAATTCACTATTACAAGTAGTATATCTTTTTTTCATATATTTCTGAGCTTATAAACAAATAATTTATGCATTTAAACTTTTTTCTTTGTTTAATATTTATTTTATATAAGTAATAATGTATCTTCAAAATTTTTGTCATTGATTCATAGTTGTTGGTTGGTGTAAATATCCCCAGCCCTACTAAAAGGGTGTTACAGAAGCGCTTAAATGAGCAATGTATTAATCGTTATTATAAAGATTTTCATTGGTTATAGATGAGCTAATTAAAAAGAATTTAATAAAAATGTAACTCGTTATTATAAAAAAATAAAAAATAATTAGTGGTTACTCTTGCATTACTTCAATAAATTAATAACAAAGTTACCTTAATGTTACTCAAAAAAGTAACTATAACTTTATGTTACATTACAGAGTAACTTACAGTACTTTATCAACCAACACTACCCTTAGTTGATTCTTATTCCCTGAATGATTCCAACTTCAATGAGATTTTGGGATATTCTTTACTCATCCTCTCTTTCTTTTGAACACCACATTAACATCACTTGTAATTAGAGCATTTAAGTTTTGTTGAACGTAACTGTCTCCATACTTTGCACTTGTTATACCTCTTCGGCTATTCTTGACTACGGCATGGTTGTGTGATATCCTTTCTAGGTCAAGACCAACTTAACCCTGAACTTGTTCCAAATTAATTTTGATCATTCACATTTTTAATAATATTTTGTATTCTTAATATCCTGGCTACCCCCCACTATGACTGTTCACTTATCTGTGAAGTCCTACATATTTAGACTCTTTCATCACAAAGCATCGAAGCTGACTAATAATTTGTTAATTCCGTATGACATATAATTTTATAACATAGCAAAGAAATATTAACATTTAAGGGCAGGCACTCGGCAGTGCCGCCCAACCTGTAAAATACAAGTCTAAAATATGATAATAAAAATATTGTTTTGTTATAAAAAACACATCAGTTTCACCTATAATATTATAGAATTACTAATAACTTATAGCAGGCATCTGTCGAGAATTAATTAAAAATGTTACTTGCATTTATTAATATTATAATAGTTGAATTAAAGCTGATGATATTATTAAAAAGTTTAATTTCAGCCAGACATCAAACACCAATTTAACATTATTTCAATCAAGTTGTATAATTAAATAGTTAGGTACAAAATAAAATGGCAATATAGAGTAAAATCAGTCATATAAAAAGTATTCATAATAATTATAATTTATTTGTAATGTTATTGTATAGTTAAAAAGCAGTAAAAACAACACACTTACTTGATTATCTTAATACACAGGACGTGTTATCTAAATAACACCTGTATACGATTGAAACAGATGTACAGATATGAGTAAATAAAAAGAACTATAGACAAGTTAAACAATCAAAATAAGTAAAAGCCTAGCTATTGTAATATTATATCTACAACAATATTGTACTGTGACTAGTATGACTACAGATAGTAACTATCATCATATATTTCTCTATCATCATCTACCTGTAAGCATTTAAAATTCAAAATTGTATCATTTTAGGTATACACATGGTATACAACAACAATATTATAATGATTAATGAACAAATGAAACTTCAGATTTTATCATAAGCTTATGAAATACATGACATAACTAGGGATGGCAACGATACATCGATGTTTTGGAAACATCGATGTTTTAAACTATAATAATCGATGTTTGACATCGATGGTTAAGTTTCGATGTTTTGCATCGAGGTTTATGTTTACCGATGTTTTAATTTCGATGTTTGCCTTGTCTTCGATATTCTTCGACATTTCATAAAATAAATATTTTTAAAATTGTTCAGTTCCTAATATTATAATATATAATAATTAATTTTATCCTATAAAAAGTATGTTTTTTTTTTTTTTTTAAATATCGATGTTTTTCCAAATACATCGAGTTCTTGACTTCGATGTTTTTTTAAATTGTCGATATTGTCACCATCGATGTATAGTAAAATATACATCGATACATCGAAACATCGATGTTCAAAAAAAAATTGCCATCCCTAGACATAACCTAATTTTTTGCGCGCTAATCTTACTATCAAACACGTCTGTAGATAATACTATCTTTAATCAAGAAAACTATTTATCAAAGACATTCAAAAACATAAGCAGACGATCATTGTAGAAATTCGCTAGGCGCCTAGGCTAAACCGGTATGAAAAAAAACGCACTTAGACATTATAATAATTGGACTAATTTACTTCAAATTTCCTAGATTAAAACGGTGTTAAAAATAATGCACCGGGATTTTTGGACCATATAATTTACATGGTTCATTATCCCGGTGCGGGACAATGTGGGATAATGAACTATGTAAATGATATGGTCCAAACATCTTGGTGAATTATTTTTCACAACGTTTTAGCCTAGCGCATTTCTAGATAGACATCAAGGTGGATTCAATCCACCTTGATAGACATAATATCAGAATCCGGGTACCTATTCCTAAACAGTAAACATGAATACATCATATTAACATATTAACCTTTTACACCTAACTATTTTGTTAGAAATTATAATATTATGTTATTGTTTAATGTTTTTACTTTTGAAAACCTATTGAAGGTAGTAGATACTCGGGTAACTATAAGAATTAGAGATGTTTTTAAATCAATGGGTATACTCAGGGTTGAAAACAACACGTTTTAAAACAAAAGAACGGCGTTTTAAACGTTTCTCGAAGATGTTTTAAAGATGTAAAAAACATCTTTTAATGAAGCCCTATAAATAATAATATCTAGCAAATTATTATAGTCTATAGATAGGTTATAGGTAGCACCCCTTATCAGTTATCAGTCATCATGTCATTGTATTATTATTATTATTATTATTATTATTATTTTTTATAAATACATAGATTAGGTCTTCCTTACGAGACACCTTTTTTTAAAACTAATTTTTTTTATTTATACTTATGTAGAATTTGACGCCGAAAACGGTTGTGCAATCAAAATATGGGGGGGGGGGAGGTCGAGGGGTCGTGCTTATTTTCAGTTATGAAGTTTTGTCGATAACAATTGGCCCAATTGTATTGGATTTCATAGTTTTTAATTTTGAAAATGTTGAAATTTATGATTTCCAACAAAAAAAAGGTGGGCAAGTGGGTGTCGCTCTGCTGTACAGTAGGTTACAAGTGGGTCACTGTATAATGGATGGTATTAAATTTGAATTCAATGATATAATATCATTGTATAAGAAAAACGATTCTGAGCGGTGACGGTATGTCAGTCTATGTATAAGACATATTATATACATATCTATGGTATTAAACAAAAAATTGACCTATAATAGGTACCTATAATAAATTCCAAACTAATCATATCACAATATCCATTAGATACTTATAACGCGTTATACATCAACAAAAACCGTGATACTATCATAGATATATAATAGTACACTTTAGAAGTTTCAAGTACCCACGAAT